GTATTCAAAGTGCCCTTTCACTTTCACCCTTTGTTTTAAGTTTAAATAGATGGCAAAATTGTAAGTCGGAATAGACAGTCTCAATAGAACAGATGAATGGTAATGCATTATCATCCAAGCAGTTGTGACACAGAGTGACCATCTTGTAGATGATTCTTTTTTCTACAGGAAGCAAGTGCAGTGTCCGTGAAAGAGGTGTAGCAGAGTCTCGCTTTCTTTACTATAAAACTAAAAGTGCAGCATTGTTTTGGACAGTTTGAAGTCATTTCACTTTCGTCAGTGTGACATTCCTGATAACAAGGATTTACAATAATCAAGTCTGAATAAAACTAAGCTAGTTATTAGTAAAGCAGTATACTTAGTATTGATTGGAAAACGTATTTTACTATTTTTCTTATTTCGAAACACATGTAGCGGGTCAGATGGTTTACCTCTGCCGACATTGACTAACTGGAATCAAAATACACATGTATGTAGATGTCAAGATTCTTAACTTTAAAAAAAAATGCAATTTCCGCATCACCGATTGTCATGTGAACGTGGTCAACCTCAGTAACAGACTTAGCACTACCTGCCAGATTGACTTATTATGTTTTATCATGATTCAACATCATTTAGTTTTTTTTTGTTTATCTACCTCCCAGAGATCTCTCACACACATTGCCTAAGGTAAACAAAGTAGGCGCACTTTCTCTTTCTCTCTCTTTCTCTCTCTTTCTCTCTCTCTCTCTCTCTCTCTCTCTCTCTCTCTCTTGAACTCTCCATTCACAATTTACTTGACCCACAAAAAGTAGTACTGACTCTGAAAAAAAACTAGACCCCACCCCTACCCCCTCCCCTCGCCCTCCTCTCCACATTCTTCATCTCCCCCACTGTGACGCACCCCTGCTGCCCTAGCCATTATCCAGGGGCCGGCCACAGCATCAAATGCACATCGGCGATAGATGAGCCCAGGTTCCGACGAAGGTTAGGACAGCGAGCCGAGAAAGAGAAATGAATGCTTCGTGTCTGGAATCCCACGTCACGGGGGCAAGATTCAGATTCCAGACAATGTTGAACGCATGCTCTGAACATGCCGGCTGTTTTTAGAAAGAAAAAAAACGTAGTTACCTTCATTGCAAGTCGATTACTGGGATTTTTTTTTGTACCTGGCAATTTAGAAGAAAAGACAATTGCACAGCATGTAGTCGCGGAATTCGGACGAGCAACTCACAGTCCCAAACGGTTCAAGTTGTCTCTTTTTTGTGAGAGCTCAATTAATGAATTCATGAACTGATTAACTAATGTTCTTCTTGGAACAAAGTTTTTTAAATCATTTATCTTTAGGAACGCTCCCCCCCCCCCTCACCTTTCCTACCACTATGAGTTCTGAACGTCTTGGAAGTGACTATAGTGGAGTAAAAAGTTCGTGGTGTAACTTATTGTCAAATATCTCCTTAACTATTAAGCATAAATTCTCCAACGTTTGCACAATGCCTTTTATATCCATTTGTCTTACTGATGAATATTTTTTAAACACCTGCTGTACACTGTATTCTAGAAAAAAAACAAAAAAATCCAAGCCGATAGTTTCTACGGCTTTTAAAAAGTTTACAGCCAGGGCAATCTTGCTTTTAAAAGCAAGTCTGTCATTGTTTTCTAATCGGGACTATAATAATATGCTTATTGAACACATGTTTTGAGAACGTTTAGCGCAAAGAAGGTGTTCACTGTAAAATTGTAAAATGCATTTCTTGTTACAAGTGTTGCCACTAAAAAGTGTCATTGGCAAGCTGTGACGTAGATCTAGGTCATAATATGCGTATACAAAAATGTATGCAAGAAGCGGGAAGTGTTGTGAACAATCCCATTTTCCCCATGACGGAGATTTATAGTATTTTGTATTAATTTAAGAAGAATTTTTTTTTAATGTAGCCTCAATTGTTGTGGGAAAATATGATTAAGTTAAGAGAAATTGATACAAACTACTGTGCAAAATAGGAGTGACGGTGATGGACCCGTTTAAGGGATATTTGAGGATAATTTGCGCCACGGGTTGTGACCGCACTCTCTATATATGTGCCTATATTATGGCCTGTGGGCTGGTTCTCCACCGTGTGCGGAAACTTTCCGATATTTACAGCCTCACCTGCTCCAGCAACCACCTGTCTTAGACAACAAGACAACTGCTCCTACAAACAAACACTTCCCTCCTTCCCCCACCCTCAGACACGTGGTCGTCTTGGACCGGTTCGACTGTATTTGCAAGACTGCGACTGATGGGTGGAGTTTTTTTTTGTGGGAGCGTACTTGTTGAGACCATCCAGCCACCCATCTACCCTAGACACTATATCCGTCAATTCAAACATTAGGAGTTCGAACCGCTGGAGATTCTTACACAAAAACGGAAAATGTCTGCTGGGGAACTGTATCCCACTTACCGTGGTTGGCCTTGATCTGCAGATTGAAAGCAGCCAGCCTCTAAATACTTAACGTTACAAGCTATCAAATATATCTCAGCGTAGTAAAGTAAAGTTGTTCCTGCATCCGATCCGGACTATGAGGATTGCCGTGTTAGTGAGACAACTTCCTGGGCCTTCGACATTTATTGTTGTAGGGTGGCCAGTTCCTTTCCGCGCCGCCTTTACTTCCCCAACTCGAAGTCAGATAGAGTATATGGGGCCTTTTTGTTTTGCTTTTTGGTTGTTGCTTTTTCTCGGTTTTTTTTTCCACTCAAATTGCATTACTCTGTGTACACTGAGAATATTGGGCATTCCAGCTGAAACAACACAGTGTTTTTTTCCTTTTTATGCGGGAAGGGAGGGGTCAAATAATAGGTGGATCTAGAAGGGGATGTTTGTGAAAAAAACATCCCATCCTCGTCACATCCTCGTCATAGAAGAGACAGAATCAATTGTGGGTCCTTCAGGTCAGACCGGTCGACAGTTTTTGTTTTCTAAAGTAATAACCACGTCTCTTCTGTGGAACATATCAAGGAAGTCAAGATCTGAAGGAAGAGAATCAGTAGTACTTTGGCAATCTACTTTTTCTCTGCCTTCATCCGCCCAAACAAAGCTGTAACGGGCACACTGCTATGAGATCTACTTCCTCTATGTCTTCTTCCTCCATTACAAAGCTGTGTAATACATAGCGCTATAAGCTCCACTTCCTTAATGTGTATCGCCCAAACATAATCGTGCCATACATACTGCTATAAAATCTACTTCCTCTTTGTGTACAGCCTCGAAAACAATGCTGCATCATGCATACAGTTATAAGATGTTGTTAGCGATCCAGTCAGTTATAAGATCTACTTCCTTAATTTCTATCGCCCTAACAAAATCGTGTCATTATATACTGCTATAAAATCTACTTCCTCTATGTCTACCGCCTCGAAAACAAAGCTGTATCTTGTATACAGCTATATGATCTACTTCTTGTGTGTCTACCTCTTCCCAAACAAAACTGTGTAAAAAATCGTCTGTCAAGGAGTCCTTATAATACAGTGGTGTCAAAAAGAAACTTGAAAATATAATCACACAATTATCAAGTTAAAGCCTTGCACTAACCACTCATGCAGCATGCCAATTTAAAGCTAAATAAATTCTACACCGTCTGATGCATTGATTTTTTTTCATATACGGCAGGAGCCACCCGAGGTATGGACACTCAAAATTTATTTTTAAAAAGCGTGCTTGGCAAAGTTATGTGAAATCAAAGAACTGTAAAGGCGTGTTTTAGCTTGTATTTGAGTGCATTAACATTGATGGAATGGACATGTATTGCATATCAAATGAACAGAGAATATTATTGTCTCTGTAATGAGCAATGCTTTATTGCTATATTTTCAGACAAACTGGACTTTCTCAGAATTTTCAAGAGCATAGCTTTTGTTTAGATTAATTTGGAATGACCATATCTCAGACGACCTTTATCATAGATGAAAAGTTAAATTGTCAGATGATACAGAATTCATATAGCTTTGAATTGGTTGGCTGCATGAGTGATTAGTGCAAAGCTTTGGCGCGGTGATACAATGAATACATTGCCAAGTTTCTTTTGTGAACGCCACTGTTTATACACTGTACGTGTGCATATCATATGTCAGAGTGTGTGAGTATTTTTGCGTGTGGACGTGTCTGTGTGGAGCTGTGTGTGTGTGTGAGTGTGTTTGTGTGTGTGTGTGTGTATGTGTGTGTGTGTGTGTGTGTGTTTGTGTCTGTGTCTGTGTATCTGTGTGTGCCTGTGCTTGTGTGTATACGAGAGAAAGAAAAAAAGGCAGTAAGAGAGAGAGAGCGACAGAGAGAGAGAGAGAGAGAGAGAGAGAGAGAGAGAGAGAGAGAGAGAGAGAGAGAGAGGGCGGGTAGGGTGGCAATCAGAGCGTCTAACACTCGCCAGTGTGTGGGAAAACCTTTCATCCTATCTGAATGTATCAAGAGTATTGCAGCTCTTGACATGACGTAAATTGTAGTATCCAAACCTCTCCTCTCACAACACAGACATCTCCTTCCAATATAACGGCTTCACGCGACGACTGCCGCATATCGCAACTGCTGTTATTAATATTGAGAGTTTTTGTTGATGTTTTTTTAAAATCCTACAGTCAAGTCTCTCTCTCTCTCTCTCTCTCTCTCTCTCTCTCTCTCTCT